CGCTTGGTTGTTACTTGTACTTAGTTTCTCTTTTTCTCTACCTTCATGAGCATTCTGTTGGTTGGTAGGTTCAATAGTATGATATATCTAACTAGACTTACTATTTTCCCTGTTCTTTTAGGGGAGAACCAAAGTACTGGTACAGTGTCCCTGGCAACGAGGCCGATGCTTTTGAAAAGGTATAGCTATTGAATTTGATACTCGCCTTTCTGTTGTACTTACAGAACAAAGTTATGTAGGCAAGCTTAAGATCCGTAAAAAATACATCAGAAAAGAATAAAAAATGCAGAGGGAAGTTAAAAGATAATTCTGTCGAAAAAAAAAAAAAAAAAATGCCTTTAGGTTCATTATTGTGTATTGCGAGCACCAGGAACAGGTATTGCTTTGTTCAAGGGTGGGGCGAATATGTGATCGTTATCCTTTTGTATTTATTGACAGCTTAATCTCATGTTTGGATGTGTGATTAGTTTTCTATTTTCTTTACTTTTTTATCTAGCATGTGGGACTACAATTTTTCTGTTTTGATGCCTTCAATTAAACTGCTTCTTCTATCATCCTCATCATCAACTCAATTATTATTACTACTGTTATTATTATTCCATTAAATGTTTTTATGTCTTATCCCAAGCTGTTCTTCAGGTGTTGTCCCTTGTCATTTTTCTTCATTTCAATGTTATTGCAATGCTTATTCGTTTCTGAATACTTATTTGTGCATTGGAATATAAGTGGAGAAATCCATTTTGCCATAATTTCTTCCTGATTCATTCGGCATGTTGTGCCTAACGGTTTTTCCCTTCCTGTAGGTAATGCGAAGTAGTCTACCTGATTTGTTTGAAGCACAGCCAGACCTGTTGTTTCAGCTTGTCACAATGCTAAACCCCTCTGTTTTGCAAGAGAAAGGAGTCCCGGTTTACAGCATTATTCAGGTATGCTTAACTTCTTCCTTAATTCAGAAAATTGACGCTTTTCGGTTTTCAGTACGGAGAATTAGTGAAAATGCGTTTACAGTGCTTGTGTAATCCCTTTTATCTTGGCAGGAGCCTGGAAACTTCGTAATTACTTTTCCCCATTCTTATCATGGAGGCTTCAACTTGGGTAAGCCGGGAACGGTCTATCTTTTGTTGCCCTTGTAGGTTAAATCTAAGTGTATTAAGTTGTGTATTAATTATATTGCACAATTTTATGTCTTTTGCATGTATACATTGGGAATTTTGATTATTGCAGGCTTGAACTGTGCTGAGGCTGTCAATTTTGCCCCTGCTGATTGGCTACCTCATGGTGGTTTTGGGGCTGAGCTTTACCGGCATTATCGTAAAGTGCCTGTTCTATCTCATGAGGAGCTCCTATGTGTGGTGGCGAAGGTTACCATTTATCCTCTGGTTGTTTTTGCCGCATCTTTATATTTTCTGCCCATATTTGTGTGTCCAAACGTACCACAGCGGCTGCTAGTCTCTGAAGATAAAGCAGTCGTTATGATATGGATTTTTTTTTTTTGTTTTTTGGGTCAAGCCGTCAAGTTGCTTTTTTTTATTGAAATGTTTGCTGTTTCTTCATTTGTTATCTGCTCTTAAGGTTTACACTCCTCACAATGATGCTCTCTCTCTCTCTCTCTCTCTCTCTCTCTCTCTCTCTCTCTCTCTCTCCTCATTTATCCAGTTTATATGCATTATGACCTTTGAATCTCAATTTGAAAAACTGCACCAGAAAATAATGTGTTACCTTCGTCATATTTGTGATTTGTGAATCATGTGTTCCCATTACTCTTGCTTCCTGCCACTAGGTATGTCTGGCTTCTAACTGTTATCAGTTTTTGAACTTTAGCTGTTTGTTATAACTTTGCAGACTGAGTTGAACAGAAGAGTATCATCATACTTAAAGAAAGAGTTGCTTAGGATATACAACAATGAGAAAACTTGGAGGGAGCAGCTGTGGAGATGTGGCATCATTAGATCTTCTCCCATGATTCCTCGAGCGAAGCCTGAGTATGTTGGTACTGAAGAGGTACATTTTAAACCGCTGGTGCATTTTCCAAAAATTAAAACTGTAGTCCCAGTGTGAGATTTTGCTTTATGATGACTGGTATCACTTTTTTCTTTGAAGGATCCAATGTGCGTCATCTGCCGACAGTTATTATATCTCTCTGCTGTTTCTTGCAGCTGTAGACCATCCACATATGCTTGTCTAGAGGTGAGTGGCTCCAATAAGAAAGTAACTTAGCTCATATGTTTTTAGTATTCAGTTGCATCCATATATATTTCTTGATGTGGTCTTCATGATCCCAATTATGGACATAATGTTGGGATATACCCAAATTACATATACTTACGAGTCAAGGTTTCTAGTAATTAACAGTTTGTAGTTTTTGTTATTAATGATCGGCAAGATGATCTGAGCATTTCGACATTGCGTTTTTAGTGCTACTATAATTCAATAGTAACTGCTGATTCTCGCAGCATGGATGGCCTAGATTTCACTTATCTTTAACCAACTTTTATTGAGTGGTCAAATTTTATTCTTGTGTAGCCTCACCAGCATGAACTTTCTTGGGCCAAAATATTTTATATTGACAATTCTCCTGGCATAGTGCTAATAATGGACTAGATCAAAATGGCTCAATTAAATTCTAGTGCTTCTTCTATTAGTGAAGTTTCTAGAAAAAAAAATATATCAAACGACGCAATGCACCTTGGGTCGCTACGGAAACAACCTCCTTGTATAATTACAAGGGTAAGGTCTGCGTACAACTGAACCTCAGACCCCAACCAGTTGGGAATATGCTGGGTATGTTGTTGTTGTTGTTGTTGTTGTTGTTGTATATCACGCAGCAGAATTCACCCGCTTTTCTCGCAGCACTGGGAGCATCTCTGCGAGTGCAAGCCGAACAAACTCCGTCTTCTGTACCGTCATACTCTGGCAGAATTGACTGATTTGCTGTTGAAGGCTGATAGTCATTGTTCTGTTGAAGATCTTGGTAATACACAAAACGATACGTCGTCAAGAAAAGCAGTTGCATTGACAAAAAAGGTTTATATTATTTTTATTCATAATTATCTGATCGAACAGAATTTTTATTTTCTTTAAACTTCATTCTTTGCATCAGAAACCTTCGTTTACTTCTTTTAAGATTTTTTATCCTTCCTGTTCCAAGTATGGCTGACTATGCATAATTTGTCTAGACTTTAGATGTTTTAGCCTTTCTGACTGAATTTATTAACCTTTATGCCTAGTTTGATACTTTATTCCCCCTTAATTTATCAACTTTTTGTTCTGCATATGGATTACGGGTACTCCTTTTTTCTATTTAGAGTGTGAAGTTACTGTCAGCATGATATGCTTTACTGGAGATCTCAATTTCGATGTGACTTCTTGTTGAGAATATAATTTGGTATTTAGTAATTGTTCTGTTCCTTGTCAAGAAGCTCAGAACTAATAGATAAAGTACGTTCTTATGTGTTGAAAGAAGAGTGTAAGTCACTGATAACTTATTAAATTACATGGAAGAGTCGCATTCTTGTATTAATGACTTACAGTACTTTGACATATCGGGGTTAAGTAGATGGGGACTAATAAAGGGTCTAGTAGCATAATTGTGCTAAATAGAAATGAACTTTGATACTCTTCACAGGCTGTTGTCCCCATGACCAGATAAGATTAATTGATTCATAAATGTCAAATTAAAAACATATATGCCACCTCGTATAATCTGCTACATTAGATGTCTTTCTGCCTTAACATGTCACTGTGATGTTCACATTGAACTCTGTACTTTTCTCCATGTTTAGGTTAAGAGCGGCCGTGTCACATATTTGCAGCTTGCTGAAGATTGGATTCTGAGGTCATGTAAGGTTCTTGAGCAACCATACTCTAGGAGTGCTTATGCCAGTCTAATAGAAGAAGCAGAGCAATTTCTTTGGGCTGGTGCTGAGATAGATCTGGTAAGACCCTGTTATGGGTATCACTGGCTTCATCTTGATTTTAAATGTAAATAAGCATGCTTTTATTTCCTTATGTAGGTCCGAGAAATGCAGAATAGATTGATTCAAGCACGAAATTGGGCAAAAGCTGTGAGACGTTGCCTTTCTAAAATTAAGTTCTGGTCCAGTAACAAAAATCGTGACATGGATAGAGTGCCCATGGATGATGTCAATGAGTTGCTCGGGTTAAGCCCTGCTCCTTGCAAAGAACTAGGCCTCCTTCTGTTAAAGGTTGGGGCATTTCCAGTAATTTAAATCACTTGTGTTTTGTTGAATTCCATGAATTTGATGGGTGGGGCTGAAGGGCTTCTCGAATTTTATTTGTAGGATTATCAAGAAGAAGCTAATGAGCTGATCCAGGAAATTAATTCTGCTCTGGAAACATGTTCACGATATTCTGTAAGAAAACTACTATGTGTCCTTTTCTTCTGTATTCTTGTAGCTTGTAGATACTGTAATCATTTTGTGGTTATTACCATATTTTCCATTCATTATTTTTGCTTGTACTGGATCTCCTACCTAAATATTTATGAACTGGCACATGGATGAATATTCTGTTTTATAGACAGTCGACATTTAAAAGTTCAGTTATCTTTTTTCACTTCTCTCCTAACTTAATTGCCTCTAAATTATTCCAGGTGGTTGATTTGGAGATCTTATATGCGAAGACAGTTGACTCGCCCATTCATGTAAAGGAAAGTGAGAAGCTAAGACTAAAGCTATCGACAGTTAAGGTACATTTTACATATATTTTATTAGATATTAACACCTGAACCTAAGAAATTATCCTCACAACACTCTAGTGATGTTGAGTTTGAGGTAAAACATGTATCATAGTGAATATAGTGTTGGTCTTGAGGCAGCACGGATCTCTGCCTTAAACTTTTATTCTTAGGCCAAACAAGAAACTGGAATTTAGTGCACTGATTAATCATGTTAAGGATGGTTTTATAGTCTATGATCCTTATTTTCATGAATGCCATGTGATATTGATTTTTCTGTATGTGTTTGCTGTCTTATGGTTTCGGAAATTAATTCAACTGGCAATTATTTTTCCTTCTTTAAATTTCAAGTATTTTATTTGTTTTGGCTCTTCAGTGCACATTTTGTCTATATCAGGTTTGGTTGGGCAATGCGAAAAAGTGCATTTTTCAGAAAGATCCCTCATCAGTTGAGGTAGATATGCTCTATAAGCTGGAGTCAGAGGTAATTAGAAATGTTCTGTCACTTGCTTTTTAAATCTCTTTGTCACTTGCTCTTTACTTCTCTTGACTGTATCCATAACACTTGTTCTCTCTTTGTGGTATTGAGTTGATGGAATGCTGGCTTGCATTTTTAATTTCCAGATTTCGGAGTTACAATTTCAGCTTCCTGAAGCTGTGCTGCTCAGTGATTTAACTAGGCAAGTTAAAATTTGTCAGTCACGGTGCATTGAGATTTTAGGAGATTTGGTCAGCCTAAAGGTTTTGCTTGCAGACTTTCTCTCCGTCTCGTTTTTTTTTTTTTCATTTTCCCAGCATGTATCATTATTCTGCACCTTCTTTCGCTCAAACAGATTCTTTTTGTGGGCAGGAAGTCAAATTGTTTCTCAGTGAATGGGAGAACTTTCCTGTAAAGGTTCCAGAGCTTGAACTTTTAAAGAAATATTACAATGATACAGTGTCATGGATGTCACGTGTTGATCGTGTGCTTATGAATGTTCATGAACGGGAAGATCAAGAAAAAGTTGTTGATGAGTTAACATGCATCCTGAAGGATGAGTCCTTGCTTAAAATACAAGGTGAGAGCTCATAAATTATGGTTCATGTTCTCAGATCACCACTTTGTTTATTTCCCTCGTTCCTTTTAATGTAGTCAATGAGTTACCTCGTGTTGAGCTCGAGCTTCAGAAAGCGCACTGCCGTGTTAAAGCATTTAAGGTAACTTCATGTTTGATCAAACTTTGATGTGCTATTGTCATTTTTTCCATTGAATTTAGGTGGACTACTGCCAGTAACTTGAACACTATTCAGACTTCTAATCTGAAACTAACATGTTCGATGCAGGGACTTAACACTAAAATGTCCATGGATTTCACTCAGCAACTTATGTTGGAGGCAGCGAAGTATGCTCTTCTCTTTTTTTCTTTTTCTAATTAGGGAAGCCCTTGCGTTGAGTGAATTTATCGTTCTTAGATGAAGTCAGTGTTGAAATTTTAATTGCACTACTATTCAGACTACAGATCGAGAAAGAGGAGATTTTTGCTGATATTTCCCAAAGACATGCTGCTGCCATATGCTGGGACGGAAAAGCGAAACATGTTCTTGCTATTAGGGCGCGTATGTCTGACTTTGAGGATCTTTTGAGGTTTTGCTTTAAAACAATTTACCCTGTCTAAATTGTTTTAGTTATATACTTGTCTTTTGATATTTGAATACCATTCAATACCTTCAGGGCTTCTGAGCACATTGGAATTATTCCATCATCCCTTCTTGACGTGGAGCTTGCAGTATCAACAGCTAAATCTTGGTTAACAAAAGCTAAACCATTTCTATATCGTGACTCATATAATTTCGCAGCATCGGATTCTTGTTTGGAAGTTGATGTTTTGAAGGTTGATTTTCTTGATGTTTATACTATATCATTAAATGGCCACTACTTCTGCATTTTGTTTTCTGATTTTATCATTGTACAGGAGCTAGTGTTGCAATCGGAAGAGCTGAATGTACATTTTGAAGAATATTTACTACTTCAAGAACTCTTGAAGAAGTGTGTGGACTGGGAACATGATGCCAGAACTTTACTACAGAATGTGGAGTGCTTATGGAAAACCGACATTACAGATGAGGTCACCACTGGCTCTATTATAACCAGACTTGAATGTCAAGTCCTCTCGATGGAGACTGCCATCAAAAGTGGTATTTCTCTTGGTGTTAGGTTGAACATGATTCAAAAACTTGAAGATTCTTGTTCAACATTCAAGTGGGGCATTACTGCCCTTTCGTTTTGCACCACTGTTCCCACTTGCCAGGTGATTCTCCCGTAGTTTGTCAGTTTCAAAATTCAAACTGCACTTTCGTTACAAATTTTCTAGAATGCGTTTCTTATTTTAACGAGTTCCCAAGTTATCTGGCCTGGTGTAGAATTGTTTTTTTTTTCTTCTGTAAATGTGATCATAGCTGAGAAACCAGTATATGAATCTTCAAGGCTTTTGGTTTCCTTAGTTCTTATTGGTTTTGGTGAAGTGTGACGAAGATATACACTACATATGTATATTTGTGGTTGGAGTATCATCTAAAGGACCTTTTTTCTTTTGGTTTTAGGAAGTTGAGGCGATGTTGGATGCTGCTGCCAGTCTTCCTGTAATAGATAAATCTGTTACTCTGTGGACTGCATTGATTGATGGCTTAACTTGGCTAAAGAGCTCTCTTGAAATTCTTGTTCCATGTAATCGTCAATGTTTTCAAGTCAGAAGTGTTGAGGAAGTTCTTGTTCTGTCTAAGGTCTCTTCTTCGATTCAAAATGCTTGTTCTGTGTTTATAGAAGATAATTGTCTAACATCTTAAATTTGCAGAAAATTTGCATCTCGTTTCCAATTATTACTGGTCGTCTTCGTGATGCAGTTGAAGATCACAAGTAAGCGTTGATTTCCTACTTGAAGATAAATATTCAATAGATCTCTAGGTGCACCTAGTATAAATATGGTGGCCATATTATCATATTGTTTTTGTTTCCACCAAGATGATAGAATTTTCAATTGGTCATGTGTGCGCAGCAATATCTTCTTTTTTAGTTGCTACATGAATGTTAGACGAGAAAAGGTGAAAGCAGTTATTAAGATATTGGGTGGAAAATTTGTGCCACTTTCAATGTTGTCCAGGAAAAAAAATTCTTTATCCATGCTCTTATGTGTTCATTATTTCCATCTTACAACATGAAAAATTAAGTTAGCGCAAAATGTTAAGATAATCTCGGATATTGACCTGCAGCTCCAATAGTGCTATGGTTTCATTTTATTTTTAACACATATTTCATGCCCTGTTTTATAAAATATGTGTACCTAGTAGCTTGATTCTCGTGGTTTCTTTAGCTATCAATGGTTATGTATCATATTCTGCTTATCTGCGGCATCTGATTCTATAGATTTCAGTTATAGGAATTTTGGGTTCCTAGCGGTGCTTTCTTATTTGTCCATGTATTTGTGCTGTTGCTTTATGTTCTAGGAGCCTACTCTTTTAAGTTGTTTCCCTAATTTGTTAGTTTATGTTTAAGTCTATTGTTATGCAGGCATGTGTATATCTATTAGATGGTCATTATGGTCATTTTTTTAGGTAAATCTTTAGTAATGTTCTTTTATGTCTATAGATTGTGGCTGGAGAAAGTTAATCTATTTTCTGCTCTCGACTCTGTGGATCGATCGTATGATATACTGATGCAGCTAAAGGTAATTATTAGTTTTTTTTTTTTTTTCGTAACTTCTACTTTTGATATAGCAGAATCTCCGTGTACATACTATTTATTTGGGATCATGGAGGATGCTTTCCTTTTCGGCCATTTTATTTAGAATTTGTCTAAAGTTATGTCTGAAAATTGTCTCTCGTTTTTAACCCCTAATCTTAAAAAGTATCTTAAATTACTCTGGAATAGAATCACTTGGATTATATCATTTTGTTCACAGCATCTGGTGGATTATATTCTTGGCCAAAACTACCTGCTGCAGTTTGTTCTGGCACGTGAAGCATATCTAGGATCCTGAATTATATAGCTAGCTAAATCATTTAGAGTAAAATATTGCATTTCAATCACTCAATCAACAAGCCATTACAATTTTGCATATACAAAAAAAATAAAAATAAATAAAAATAAAAATAAAAATTGCTGATGAGGATACCTTGGAACTTTTACTTGATTCTTTGTTCTGTTACTACAGCATTTCATTGCAATGGTATTGGGTAGGATATGATTTGAGTTGGCCATACATTTCAGGTTATAATGTACCGTGCTTCATTTTGATGGCACATACTCGATATTTTAAGTTTTTACCTCTTTGTTGACTCCCTCGTCATTTAATTGACAATTCGAGCGTACAGGACCATGGAAGTTCGAAGGCATTCAACTGTCTAGAGCTAGAGAAGGTTCTTTGTGAATACGAAAAGATTAAAAAATGGGCACAGCGTTGTGCAGACATAATTAAGCCTCCATCTGCAGAAGAAGATTCACTTCCTAGTGCTCTTGTAGAGGTCTCTGCAATTTTTCTTTTTTTTTTTTTTAGTGAACAAATTTGTGGTTAGCCTATTCGCTTTCTTTTTATACCTGATTAAAGGAAGCTTTGAACCTTTCGTGCAGTTAAAGAACACTCTCGAGAGATCTTTTGAAGTGTACGGTAATTATGAGGGAAGAGAATCTAGAAACTTATGCAAATGCTGCTCTAGTGCTAGTGAGGATCAAGAACTTTTGAGCTGTTCTATTTGCAAGGACAGGCAAGTCTTGCTTGTACTGAAATTTTCGAAATGGACTCGTAGGTTCTTATCTATTAGACTATATTAGTAGAGAGTTATCAGTTTGAGTCTATTCTAACTTTTGCAGAACTTGCTCGGACTATTTTTTTTTTTTTTTTTTTT